GTAGTTGAAGATTTTAATATTATCCCTTCAACAATTAAAAGAAATAACAGTGAGAAAAATCTACACTGAGAACAAGACAAAATTGACTTATTGATATTTATTAAACACTTTTTGCACACCATGTGAAACATTCTGTTTTGGTTGGTCATGGGGCTTGAACTCAGGGGCTAGGCGCTGTCCCTGATCTCTTTTTGCTCAAGGCTTGCACTTTACCACTTTGAGCCACAGTACCACTGTTTTTTCTGAGTGATTAATTGGAGCTAAGTAGCTCACGGGACTTTCCTGGCAAGCTGGCTTTGAACTATGATCCTCAGCCACCTGAATAGCTAGGATTACTGGCATGAGCCACCTATGACCAGCTGAAACCAGGTAGAGAAAGAGAAAGCTGTGTTTAGAGGAGCCAAGGACAAGCCAAGATTGAAATATCTATTCTTTGTTTACTGTGTGTAACAGTATTTCCCAAATGTCTGAGGTGTTTCCTATGTCACCTGGATGATTCTTAGCACACCTTTGTACAACCACTCTCTTGCTCTCTTATTCACACAATATTAAAAGACAACTCATTATCTACTTAATTGGTTTTCTTTGTATTTTTGTTTCTTTGTCGGTCATGGAGCTTGAACTCTGGGCTTTGGCACTGTCCCTCAGCTCTTCAGCTCAAGGCTAGCGCTCTACTGCTTGAGACACAGTGCCACTTCTGGTTTTCTAGTGGTTTATTGGAGATAAAGAGTCTCACAGACTTTCCTGCTTGGGCTGGCTTTGAACCATGATCCTCAGATCTCAGCCTCCTGAGTAGCTACTCAGGAGGATTACAGGCATGAGCCACCCAGTTACAGGTTTTTATAAATGGGTTATAAATGGGTTTTTATAAAGTATAGGTTTTTATAAATGGGTTATAGATTTTTATAAATGGGTTATAAATATAACCCAGATAGTTTCCCTCTCATGCATTTCTTTTCTGGAAGAGTTTGTGTAGAATTAATACCATTTAAGCCCGGCTGCTTAATTTTCTAGTGGTACAATAAATTAGGTTTGACCAATGTATTTAAACTTATTTAAGTCTCACTAAATTTGCAATGATTGGAGTCATACAAAATATGTTCCCCAATTACAACAGAATTAAATTAAAAACTTTGACAGAAAAGTATATAGAAAGGCTACACATATTTGGCCATTAATCAATATACTCCTAAATAATCCACAGGTTAAATAAAAAAATTACAAGGAAAAACAAAATATTTAGAAATTACCCACAATAGGTATGAAAGAGAGTACACAATCCCATAATATAGGCCACTAAAAGGATAATAATGTAGACTTTTGAAACTCTGTGCCAATAATTTTGATGACCTATGTAAAAAGAAAAAAAGATAAAAATTCCTTTAAAGCTAAAAATCATCAAAATTATCTTTTATTATTAAGTTTTAAAATTATTTTTATTCTTATTATTAATATCTCATTTCAAAATCCTTCAACTCCAGGCCACAGCATTAAAAAATAAATGGTATTAATTCTACACAAACTCTTCCAGAAAAGAAATGCATGAGAAGGAAACTATCTGGGTTATATTTATAACCCATTTATAAAAATCTATAACCCATTTATAAAAACCTATACTTTATAAAAACCTATTTATAACCCATTTATAAAAACCTATAAACTGGTGCTAATGGCTCACACCTATAATCTTAGCTACTCAGGAGGCTGAGATCTGACATGGTTCAAAGACAGCCAAAGCAGGAAAGTCCGTGACACTTTTATCTCCAATTAACCACCAGAAAACTGCAAGTGGTGCTGTGGCTCAAGTGGAAGAGTACTTGCCTTGAGCTGAAGAGCTGAGGGACAGTGCCAAAGTCCAGAGTTCAAGACCCATGACTGACACGACAACAACAAAAGCCTACAGAAACTGCTTTCATAAAGGTTCCAAGTCATCAATCACACAAACACCTATCAACAGGTCAATAGGTGGTTCAGTCGTACATGCATGAGAAGAAATATTACATACAAAACCCTCAGTTTTACAAGTTTTGAAAATATATTGTTTCCGGAACTGTGAAAGAATCAGGCCCCAAAGAGTGTAAGATTATGTTGCCTTCATGACTCAGAGCTGAAGATAGCTTTCATCCATGGAAATTACAGGTGTGAGCCCCTGGTGGCCAGCTTTTGCTGGTTATTTTTGAGAGCAGGGCTGAACTTTTCTGTTTAGGCTGTCTTTGAACCCTGCTCCTTCAGCTCTCAGCCTCCCAAGGAGTGACGTTGCAGCTCCTAACATCAATAAAACCAGGGCAATGCTTCCCTCCAGGTGCTGCACAAAGAATATACAGCACTATCCACTTATAGAAGTAGATATGAGGAATCTCCACGTAGTCACCAAACAGCACAGTCCCCGGGCAGTAGCTGACAGGGCGCACCTTCTTAAAGAGCCAGCTCACGCCTTTGCAGAAATCGCGATTCAAAAGTTGGCCCGCCTCAGCCAGATCACGTGGTCCGCGTCTCCAAGCAACCAGATGAAAGCCGCAGGCTGGGTCAATCACCCGCAGCTGCGAAGGCTTGTTTTTAAAATCCATCCAAAACAGCCAATCAGAAGCGGCCAACAGAGGACTCGGGAGATGATTGGTCCATCGCTACCGTTAGTGACCAATGGGCGTGGGGTTAGGATTGGCCCGGGACCGGAAGCGACCGGGTGCAAGCCGAGTGGCGGCCGCGGGCAGTTTGAGTTGGTTTCGGCACCGGCTCACCCTGCCCGGGAGGACTCCGTTTCCTTTGTCCGGTTAAGCAGGTGGCGAGGTGAGCGTCCTGCCGGGGTCTCACCGTGGAGGCCGGGCCTCGGCACCTCTGGGTTCTGCCCGGGACAGCGGGGCGGGGACGCCCGGGGTCGCGCTCCGGGCCGGTGGGTGCCGTGGGGCGCCCCAGGTGGGCGAGTGGCGGAGCACGGCCCGGTGCGAGCGTGCGGTGGTGCGAGCCGCCCTGCGCGGGGCGGAGCGGCCACTCCTGCTCGCCCAACACTGGAGGCGACCAGGGGGTTCCAGGCAGCGTTGCGAAGTTGGGGAACCGGGGCTCCGCTTGGGAAGTCGAGGGCCCCGTCCCGGGCTGCTTGGATTTGGACGAGGCTAACCACGGCCTGTCAGTGGTTAGGGGCTTATTGCTCTTTCTCCCCCCTCCTCCTCCCCCTCCTCCCTTCCCTCCTCCTTCCCTTCCTCCCTTCCCTCCTCCTTCCCTTCCTCCCTTCCCTCCTCCCTTCCCCCCTCTTTCTTTCCTCTCTTCCCTTCTCCCTCCCTCCCTTCTCTGGATGTGCCTGGCAGGTGTGATATGCTGGGGACCCTTAATGAGAGGACCCAAGTCAGGCCCATGAGGAGCCTGGCTTCAGCAGTGGACCGGGGGGGGGGGAGGGGGGTGTGGTTTGGTGTGGTGGGGCACGTGTGTGTGTGTGTGTGTGTGTGTGTGTGTGTAGATGGGGGTGGGGATTCTAATAAAGGGCAACGTTTGAGCTAAGAAAATGCACCTACTTACAGGAGAACTTCCCGACTACCCTTTCGGCTCCACTGGAGTTGGTGATTTCTGCGTGAAGAATTCGGTCCTTATTATACTGGAAAAGATGCTAGCCTTGCAAATAAATCCTCTTTTCTAGGGCCTTCACATCCAAAGCTTTTCATTCCTTTTCTTTTACCCAGTCCCTGCCCCTGAAATCTCACTTTATAGGTTTCTGTTCTTTCTTTTGCCTTAGTGGCTTAATTTAGAGCTTGATGCCCTCACGTGTCAACATCTGTAGTCGTAATTAGCTTGGGTCTTTTGTATTTATATGTTAATCACTGCAAGTATATAAAGAACAAGTGTATGACTGTACTTAAGGATATTTTTATAGTTATACCTATTTATATGGCAATATATTTAAATATAAACAAATGGATCACTGTAACTCCTAAGCTCTAATATATTTATGTTATATATCATATAATACATGCCATTATATTTATATCTTACATTTATTTATATACTTGTTATATAGTTATTATATATTATGTATTTTAATAGACATGTATTTACATATAGTATGTATAGTCTTGGATTTTGAAATGGAAAAATATTCAGCTTGCCTGTTTTCCTTCTTTATTCCCTTCATTTTAATTCTCTTTCTAGGTTGATGCTCCTTTTGTGGGGTGTTGGTACTGAAGCTTGAACTCAGGTCCTTTTGTTTGCTAGTCAGTGCTTTCTTTATTTTTTATTTTGAATGGCTTTGATTTTTTTAGTCACTTCTGCATACTTCTGGTATACAGCATTTGCATTCCTAAGTTGGTGTGGTTTCTTGGGACAGTCTGAATGAAATTTCTTTTACTAGTTTTTGGGCAGGTGAGAGTGGAGTTTAAGATGGCTACTCAGAACTGAGATCTGGGGGAAAAGAATAAACTGGAAGTGAAAACAAAGCTTCCCATAGCTTGACATCTAACATATATTGTCCAAATCCCTTAATTTCCTTAAGTTTTGAAAATCTTTATCATCATTCTTACTAAAAAAGGAATTATTCACCCTGAGGTCCTGGGCACTGTCCCTGAGCATTTTTGCTCAAGGATAGTACTGTGCCACTTTTCATAGCTCCACTTCTGGCTTTTTGGTGGAAATAAGAGTTTCAGGGATTTTCTCACCCAGCCTAGTTTTGAACTGTGATCTTCAGATTTCAGCCTCCTGGGTAACTAGGACCCTGTGATATTCCTGTTATGTATAATGTAAACAAAGTGAGCCAAAAGAAGCAAGTAAGGACTTAAGAAGTCAAAACAAAAAGCAAAGAGAAGCAAGTGTATTCTGTACTTTCTTAGTTATTGGTACTCACATTTCAGAGGATGGAGAAGATAAATTTATATACTGTATTGTCTTTTGAAATAGGGTATTTTACAAGTTGATTTTTTTTTTTTTTTTTACAGTTAGGTGGACCCATTCATTAGTCTTCTAAGTTTCCTTTTGCTATAAGACCAACAGTTTGGTTTTACTTTTCAGGTTACGTATATATGCTTGAAAAATAAAGGAGAATAAAATGAGCTGGGCACTGGAAGAATGGAAGGAAGGCCTTCCTACCAGAGCCTTGCAGAAAGTTCAAGAGCTTGAAGGACAGCTGGACAAACTGAAGAAAGAGAAGCAGCAAAGGCAGTTTCAGCTTGACACACTAGAGGCGGCATTGCAGAAGCAAAAACAGAAGGTATCTCTTTATTCTGGGATTGTGAACTGGTCACTTATTTTGGGGTTATTTACTTGTTAGAATAAAGTGATCTTGCTATCTTCAGATGACCATCCCTCCTCCCTCTTTTTTTTTAATTTTAATTTTTATTTTTTGTGAACATACTGTACAAAGGGGTTCCAATTACATGGGCAAGATAATGAGTACATTTCTTATCAAGCATTGCAGCCTCCTCCTTTGTTTACCCTTCACATCTCTTCCCAGCCTCCCCCCCCTCCCTCTTTTTAATTGCCTTTAACTTTGTAACTTTCTCCATCTCCGATCTCTGGTTCATTATCATATCTCTTGATATTTGTGGCTGCTGAGTTTTCCTCCTGTTCTGATACTAGGGCTTGGAGTCAGGGCCTGAGCACTGTCCCTTAGCTTTTTTGCTGAATGCTGGCACTCTACCTGAGCCACAGCTTCACTTATGGGTTTTGCTGGTGAAATTGCAGATGACTCTCAGGGACTTAACCTGGCCAGGCTGGCTTAGAATTGTGGTCCTCAGATTTCAGCCTCCTGATAGCTAGGATTACAGACATTATGCAGCAACCTGTCTAAGTCTGGAGACAGTGGCAAATGCTTTACAGAGGTAGTTTTCTAAGAATGATTGTGGTTGTGGTTGTGTGTGTATGCGTGTGTGTATGCACGCATGCAGGCGCGTGCATACACACACACACACACGCCGGTACTGGGGCTTGAACACAGGCCCTGGACACTATTCCTTATCTTTTTTTGCTCAATGCTGATGTTCTCTTACTTGAGTCACATCTTCACTTCTGATTTCTTGCTGACTAATTGGAGATAAGGGTTTCAGGGATTTTTCTACCTGGGCTGGCATTTTTACCTTAGTATTTCCTAACCGCATCTCTTCAGATCTAGTAAATAACATGTAAAACTTCTTTATACCTTTATAAAAACTAACAAAGTAGTGGTACAGTTGCTTCTAATAGGTGTTTGTATTTGACAAAAATTTATGATTTATTATAACTTCTCCAGGGAAACATGAAAATGAGTTGCTTAGAGAGTTGTAAGGTTGTAAGGTTTATTTTTTATTTTTAATGAATGTTAAAATGCTCCTCTCTGGGATGTGTAAGTGTAGTCTTGATCAAAAACAATATTACACATAACTTTGTAGAACTTTTCTCTCTGTAGGATTCGGATTTTGGTCATCTCAGATGTCTGGTCAATGATACCAGGCCTATTCCAGTTATATATCAGAAAATTAATAGTTGATGTGAGACTCAGATCTGGTAATTGGTAAAAAGTCACAAAATGAGGAATCTATTTTCTTTTCAACTATTCCCATTAGGTTGAAAATGAAAAAAATGAGGGCACAAATCTGAAAAGGGAAAATCAAAGATTAATGGAAATATGTGAAAATCTGGAGAAAACGAAACAGAAGATTTCTCATGAACTTCAAGTTAAGGAATCACAATTGAATTTCCAGGAAGGACAACTGAACTCAGGCAAAAAACAAATAGAAAAACTGGAACAGGAGCTTAAAAGGTAACTATTTGACATTGGAGTGAATACTGTTGGTATATATTCATGAGATGCATTTACTGTTTTCCTTAATGATAGAATTACACATTGGTGGAGTAAGTAGTGATTCAGTTCTGTCATTATAGAGCTCAGTGTAAATTCATTAATAGGTAGCTGTTCACTCATTTGTTTATTTAATATGTGGCCATTGTTTAGTATATGGACCAGTATCTGATCCATATCCCATGGGCCATTGGTCACTGAATGATACAGTAAAATACAAAAGAGGGAAGTTAAGTCATGGCTCAGACTGGTGGCTCATAGTTTCTCTGTGTGAGAAAGCTACTATAGAGAATGAAAAAGAGAATGAAAGAACGAAGGCCTAGGGTAGGACAAGGCATCTACAGCAGGACCAGTCTGTCAAGTGTGTGGGTATGTTTTCCTGTAGCATGAAGTATGAAATGCTGAGAAGAGAGACAGGCAGGTTGATTTCAGATTTTTGGGGGCCAGGATACCTGGATCACACAGAGTATTTGAAGTAGCTTGCGTGGGTTCTAAGAGGGAGAAAGAGGAAACTTGAAAAGGTACCTTCTCAATGACATCTTTGTCTTAGATCCCCAGCTTCCAGTTTAAGCATCACAAAACCAATTTGCTTATTTCTTTGCTAAATTTAATAAATAAAGCAGTTTATTATACTTTTCATTAAAAAAATACCCCGATTAGAGGTGTTAATGAAAATAAATTTTATAGATTCTAAACATGCATCTTCTTATGGTGACATTTTGTATATTAGAAAGGTGAGATAACAAGTAAGTGAGACTTTAGTAAATTGTTCCATTGTGGAGTCTACAAACTGTAGAGTCCAGAAACTTAAAGATAGCTTTATTTTGAAGTGACTTTGAAGTTACAGATGAAGTACATAGTACCATTCTTATGTGTTCTTCACCTAGAATCTCCTGTTGTTAATTTCTCACATAACCAGAGTATTATTGCTAAGTCACTGACACATTAGTTTGGTACTACCAATTTTTGACTTTATTACATTTCATATACTTCTTGCAGTAATGTCCTTTTTCTGGGCCAGATTCAGATACAGGATTCCACACTGAATTTAGTTCAGGTTTTCTTTAAACTTGTTTCTTTTTTGTTTTTTTTTAGTGGGGCTTGAACTCTGGGCCTGGGCGCTGTCCCTTAGCTCTTCAGCTCAAGGCGGTGCTCTACCACTTGAGCTACCACACCACTTACAGTTTTCTGAGTGGTTTATTGGAGACAAGAATCTCACAGACTTTCCTGCCTGGGCTGGCTTTGAACCTTGATCCTCAGATCTCAGCCTCCTGGGTAGCTAGGATTACAGACGTGAGCCACTGGTGCCCGGCTAAACTTGTTTCTTGTTTTTTGTGACCTTGATAGTTTTGGAAAGTAGTTTTGCTCCTTAGTTTGGGTTTGGCTGGTTTTATTTTTTGGGTTGTTTGTGCCTGCCCTGGGACTTGGAACTCAGAGCTTTTGTGCTCAAGGCTAGCATTCTAACACTTGAACCACAGCTCTACTTTTGTTTTTTTAGTGACAAGAGTTTCACGGATTTTCCTTAATGGGCTGGTTTCAAACCTTGATCCCCAGATCTCAGCCTCCTGAGTAGATAGAATTAAGTACATACACCTGTGTAGAGCCACTGTGGGTTAAAAAAAAAAATGATTAGAGCAGATTGCTCAAACACAGCATTACTGACATTTTGGACTGGGTTACTTTTTGTCATGAGGGTGGGTTTGGGTGTTAAAAGATTCTTAATAACATTCTTGGCGATAACCACTAGATGCCAGTAGTATCCACATGTCCTGTAAGTAGAGACAATTAAACATGTGAAGAACCACTGGATTGGATTGGGGTTTTAATACTGCAAGAAGGATTGATAGGATTTTCTCATTGCATCATAGCAGAGGATACTTGATTCACTGTAACTTATCATCTTGGCCACTTAGTTAAGGTTCTATTGCTATAACTTCTACTGTGAGGTTGTGAGTGCCTCCACTATACTATCAGTTTTTCACTTTGTAATAAATACCTTTGTACCATGAAGTTTTCCTAGCATAGCTGCAATACATCTAATATATCAAGGATATATCAAGTTAAGAGGCTGGGAAGGTGGCTCAGTGGTAGAGTGCTTGCCTACCATGCATGAGGCCCTGGGTTCGATTCTTCAGCACCACATAAACAGAAAAAGCTGAAAGTGATGCTGTCGCTTAAGTGGTAGAGCACTAGCCTTGAGGTAAAGAGCTGAGGGACAGTGCCCAGGCCCAGAGTTCAGGCCCCATGACCAACAACAACAACAACAAAGAATATATCAAGTTAAAGCATTTAAAATAATTGTCTTTCTGTGAATTTTCCTGAACAGAAATCTTTTTCCTTCCCTCCTCTCCCTCTCTCCTTCCTTCCCTCCATCCCTTTCTCCCTCCTTCCTTTCTTTTCTTCCTTCCTTCCTTCTTTCCTTCCTTGTACCTGGGTTTGTTGTGCTTGGTTGGTTGGTGTTCTACCATTTGAGCCATGCTTCTAGCTCACGTTTTCCTGGTTATTTTGGAGATGGGTTTTGTGGACATTTCTAAGTTGGCTTTGAACCTTGATCATTTGGATCTTAGCCTCCTGAGTTGCTAGCATTATCAGTGTGAGCCACTAGTGGCTGGGCAGAGATATCTTTTTATTTCCTATCATGAAAGGAGGTAGTTTTAAGTTACACGTTAAAATGATACTTTTTTCTCTTTGAGTTTTTTCTTGTTTGCCCACTATTCCAAAATGTATTGAACAGAGGCCTTGTCTGCCTTGTTTATTACTGTATTTAAAGTCCCTGACGATTGTAGCCTCCCCACAAAAAAATATTTGTTAGAAGAATGTTCAAGAGACATTAGTTTTGGAAAGCAGTTAGGAAAGTTGGAAGCTCACCTCACTATGCTGACAAAATCACTTCTTTGGAAACAGATTTTAGTTACTGATTTTAATAATTTAGGCAGGTGCTAGCTAGGCTTCAGTGGCTCACACCTGTAATCGCTAGCTACTCAGAAGACTGGGATCTGAGGATTGAGATTTGAAGCCAGCCTGGGCAGAAAAGATCATGAGACTGTGATCTCCAGTTAACCACCAAAAGTCACTGAAAGTGACTCAAGTGGCAGAGTGCCAGCCTCGAGTGAAAAAGCAAAGGGAGAGCATGAGGCCCTGAATGCAAGTCCCAGTACTATGCAGTACATGATCAGTTTACCAAGACAGGACAATTTCACTTCTGGCCTGTCAGTTCTTACTTAAATATCTATTGGGCAAGTACAGTGTTAAAAAATTCTTAGAACAAAACAACAAAAAATTCTTAGAAGATGGAATGGCTGTGTACATTTTTTTGCACTCTGGCAATGTATGCCAGTGGTATTCTATAAACCTTAGTCCTAACCTGATTACTTTGTATCTTTTCTAACAGGTGTAAATCTGAACTTGAACGAAGCCAACAAACTGTGCAGTCGGCAGATGTCTCCCTGAATTCATGCAACACACCACAGAAAATTTTTGCAACTCCATTAACACCAAGTCAATATTACAGTGGTAAAGTTTTTTTTTTTTTCTTTAACATAGACAGCTCTTTAGTTGAGATTTTAAATCTATGAAGAAAACGAGTGATTTAAACTTTGGGTTCAGTTCTTCTCCATTCTATTGTTTCAAAAACGCTTCCACCGGGCTGGGAAGGTGGCTCAGTGGTAGAGCACTGCCTTGCATGCCTGAGGCCCTGGGTTCGATTCCTCAGCACCACATAAGCAAAGAGAAAAAAGCCAGAAGTGGTGCTGTGGCTCAAGTGGTAGAACGCTAGCCTTTTGCTGAAGAGCTGAGGGACAGTGACCAGGCCCAGAGTTCAGGTCCCACAACCGGATCCCTCCCAAAAAAAAATGCTTCCACTTATTGCACATTCATTTGCATGTCTGTCAAATTATGTTGAGCAGTGGGGTAAATATTAACTTTCACTTTATCCTTTCTTAGTTTCTGAAACTCAGTTTCAGAATACTCAGAATACCTGTGTTGCCATGTGTTTTGATATTTGAATAATTTGACTGGTGTTTTGACCTGTAGCTCTAAATGCATGTTCTTTCTACCTGATTTACTAAGGTACTCATTTCTAAAATCATTGTCAATCTGTGGATTCCTTCCTAAAGTCAAAATAGGCATAACACCAAATTTCATTGTCTCTGTTTAGCTTCCAAGTATGAAGATCTAAAAGACAAATATAATAAGGAAGTTGAAGAACGAAAAAGATTAGAATCAGAGGTTAAAGCTTTACAGACTAAGGTAAGTTAATTCTGGGCTGTTTGGTGGAACTTGGAGTAAGAAAAACCTTTGCTGTAGCATAGAGCAAAGGAAGAAAGAAATACCTTCCATAGGATGAATATGTTTTCTTATACTGAAAACATTTGTGAGTCATTGCTGGTGACTAGTTTTTAGTTTTAAAAATAATGAGAGGTATAGAGTGGGGAGGCTAGCTTATTGCCAATATTGAATGTTTGTGGGACTTGAAAAATAAAGGAGTACATTGGGAGAGGTCTGGCCAGAGAATTGTTGATGTTCACTGGCAGCTTGTTACCTGGAGGAACAAACAAGTCCCCTGGTGGGCCTGGAATATGGCGTTTGAGGATTGTTATTGGCGGAAAGTTCATTTCAGAGGAGACAGTTGCTGACACATTGTTCATAGTGCTTTTAATAGTGCTTTTAAATAAGCTGCTGACAAGGATTTCAATCCCTATTTTGATCAGGGTAAGTAAGTACGGGTAGTTAAAGATGTTTGTTTAATATCATCCAAGTTGAATATTTCTAAAGTGCAGTGCAGTTTTCAAAAACTCATCCTTCTAGTTCAGGGGCCAACCCTGACCTAATACTGTCAAATTCACATACAGCATTTTTGTTAATAAGACACCAGTTTCTAAAAATAAGGGAAAAACATCCTCTTTTGGCATTTATTGATACATTTCTGCTAAATATAGGAGCTAAGTGATATGGCACAATTCAAGAAACCATTTAAGGCTGAATTTAAAATAAGTTTCTTTAAGTAATGAGGATCAGAAAGATACTTTTTTTTTTTTTTGCCAGTCCTGGGACTTGAACTCAGGGCATGGGCCCTATTCCTGAGCTGCTTTTACTCAAGGCTAGCACTCTACCACTTGAGCCCCATTAACAGCCCAGATACTTGTTTCTTAAAGCATTAACAGCTTGTTCTTTTGTGCTGCTAGCCTTTGTTTTGAGATTATCAGGATTCCGATATATAGCAAACACATTGCTCCCAAGACAAATAAAAATTAAGAATGTTCTAGTTTGTGCTAGAAACCACCTTATGCTCTGTCATGGTACCAGTTCTGCACCTGATACTGATTCCAGAGTTATTTTTATGTAGATTGAGCCTCATAAACCTTAAACCTCTACCTATAGTAGCCTCTACCTAAAACATTTACTAAAATATTAACTATTAAAATACTTAATGCACGCTCTACAGCCAAGTCTTGATGTATGCAAGAAGGTAAGAAGAACAAATACTTCAAAGCAGTAGATCATCCACAAGTGTGTAATATATAATAAGAAAACACTGTAAATGGCATTTTTTAGGAGAGGCGTATTTTTGATAGAAATAAGATTATTTTATTTTATTTTTTTGTTGGTCATGGGCTTGAACTCAAGGCCTGGGCATTGTCCCTGTGTTTTTCTGCTCAAGGCCAGTGCTCTACCACTTTGAGCTACAGTACTTCTTCCGAAAGTCAGATTCTTAAAAGAGTCCTTTATGTTTGATGATCTTTGTGTAGAGCTCTAGGAGGAGGTAACCAAAGGAGAGCCAGTTTAGGAATTTAGTGGAATGTTTGAGGGATACAGAAGAAATCCTAAGAACTTGGCCATTTATAAGTAGGTTGAGTTTCAGATGTTAGTGACTTACTCTTTGAATGCTGAGAAGTGGCTTTTAGAAAGTTTCATTACTGATATTTGAAGTACACAGTTTTCTCATCTTACTGAATGTTCTCTCGGTATGCTGTGGAATTGTCAACTTGATAGAATTAGACTTTTCTTGTATGCTGGTGCTGGGTCTTGAACTCAGGGCCCAGGCACTGTCCTTGAGCTTTTTTCCTCTACCACTTGAGCCACAGCTCCAATTCTGGCTCTTTTAGTGGTTAATTGGAAATGAGTCTCACGGATTTTCCTGCCCCAGTTGGCTTTGAACTGTGATCCTCAGATCTGTGCCTCATGAGTAGCTAGGATTACAAGTGTGAGTTATCGGCACCCAGTAGGGTTTTACTTTTTTTTTTTTTTGGGGTCCGGTCATGGGGCCTGAACTCTGGGCCTGGGTGCTGTCCCTCAGCTCTTCAGCTCAAGGCTAGCGCTCTACCACTTGAGCCACAGCGCCACTT